AGGAACACAGCGTAGAACAGAACTTGTTAGCACAGAAATCAGTGACTTTCAGCCAAGTCCATCTTGGGGAGTCCTGGGCCAGGCGGCATGGACTCCCCCTCTTCCAGTCCCCCCAAGCAGACTGCCAGCTTCCAGCGACCCGACCTCAGACACCCCCGTTGCTCCTCCCCCTTGTCTTTGTCTCCTTTCCTGGGCAAAGAGGTCATCACCTGGTTGCGTCCCCCTCCTGGGTCTCAGGTTACAAAGGGCCCCTGTCATACCATCCATGCAGAAAGTTGGAGCAGCCTCACCCGCCCCAGAGGTCTCAGCCAAAATCACACACCCCTCTTCCCACCACCGGGGTATTGGTGCAGCACACAGGGAAACTGAGGCACCCACATGATTCATGCAAAACAGTAAAACTCAAACAGTAAGACTCACATACAACATAACAAGGGAAAATCCCCACTTTCTCACAACTGGGGGCGGAGGGGAAACAGAGTGTAGAGGAATCCGGTGTGGTATTTTGGGGAGGTGATGGAAATGCATCTGCAAATTCCAGGAAGAATCATGGGTGGTTCGGAGCTAGTGGGAGCCGAAGAATGCACTGCAGAATTGGGAGAATGTCAGCTGAGTGCCAGAGGAACGTTCCCCACATTGGCTCCAGATTTTCCCAGGGGAAGGCCGCCCCCGCTGTAAACAACGTCTCATGCACTGCCTTCCCCCGGGAAAATCTGGAGCAAATGTACAGTACTGCAGAGAGCAATCCCAGACAGGGGTACCAGGAGCAAGAGGGCTTAACAGGACTTTTCCACTGCTGCATCACAGGGCTTTGTAACGCTAAGAGCAGCCAAGAATCTCAACCGGCAGCTTGTGAGGTTGGGTGTATCCAGTCTACACAGGTTTCTCTGCTTGGGCTGCCTGAAAAGGGCCTGATTCCCGGAGTGGCGGGTGCTCCGCGCTTCTGGTGTCTTCAGCTGGGGGCCCCAAACACAACCAGGCGCTGGCTGATGTTCCTCTGAGATGGTCACCCAGAGGGGAAACGGTCTCAGATGTAAGGCCTGAGGCCTTCTTCTGCCGCTACAGTAGGACAGCAGCCGCCATGAGGTAAAAAGCAGAAAGTCCCAGCCTCACATTCTACCTAAATTCCATTAAAACAATGAGGAATCGGCCTGTTTAGAAGGCGCCTGTCCTAACAGTGCCCACCATCACCAGACAAAGAAACAGACGTAGGTGCCAACTCTGTGGGTGCACCGGCAGCCCTGCAGATCAGCTCCTCCCCCAGCGCCATCTGCCCGCCAGTGTTCAGCTGTTCAGCGGTGGGCAGGAGGCGCTGGGGCGGAGGGAGAGGAGGGGGCCAGGCAGGAATGGGCATGGCAGGGCGGGAAGAGGCGGGGTGAGGGCTTGGGGGAAGGGGTGGAGTGGGGGGTCAAGCCCTCCCCCGGTGAACTGGGGAAGTTGACGCTTCTGGAAACAGATGTTTAAAGAAAACATTGTTTGACGGCGTTCTGTCTGGCGAGGAATCACTTCTCAACAGTGTGAATGTGAAATCTCTCCTTCTTTATGGTCCCTACTTCGCTGTTGTTGATCTGTACGGTTTCCGTCTGGTTTTTTTTCCATTGTTTGTCTGTTGCATAAATAATTTTGCCAGATTTAAATCAACTAAGGGAGGGGGGTAGGATTGGTTAAAGAATTGTTTCACAAGATGTTAGGATTGGTCAAAGAATGATTTCCTAATATTTTAGGGAAATGATTGGTTCAGGGAGAGCTGAACGGGACTCGACTTTCACTATATAAACTGGGGTCCAAGAAGGAGACCAGCTGGGAAAGAAAGGAAAAGAAAAAAAAGAAGAAGAAGAAGGAAAGACCCGGAAGATGATGAAGAAAAACTCATCTCCAAGACACAGCCCAAGATCAGAACAGCTAGAATCCTCTGCATGACCATGACCAGAAACCAGATGAGCCCAACCTTGCCCGGCCAACAAGGAAAGTCCACCTGCGTGCTGAAGGTGGGTGAGCATTGTATGCTTAGCGTGTGGTGATTGTTAATAAATAGAGGTTAAGGATATTACGGTGTCAGGCTCTTTCAGTGGGAAAAGGCCCTGCCAACCCACAGAAGAGTATGCCCTGAGCCCTAGGAACTGGGTACACCTCGAGGTGCCTAAATTAATCGGGGTACGCCTTGAGCCCACGGAAGGGTAAAGGTGGGGTGTCCCAGCGTGTGCGGGTAACAGCAGGTGTCCACGCCCAAGTCTCGCAGGTGGGTTGATCCTGGCTCTAATGTTGACTTTGGGCCATAGGTCATTAGGCATACGTCTGGAGAAGCCTTACCGGTGAGGAGCAAAGACCGGGGAGGTTGTAAGTGCCCAGTGAGCCACCAGTTCTTCCCCCCGGCTTTGAAGGAGCTCCCGTGATGATGTCTCCAAGGCTGGTCTGGTGGGGCTGGAAATGGCTGGGGAAGTCCTGGCTTCATGCCATCCACGTGTCCTGTGGGGCTCAATCGCTCCCTCTCTCTTGGCTTCGGTTGCCCTGTCTCTGACGTGGTGATGATGGCCTCTTCTCTGCTGAGATTCCTCTTCCACGCCAGTCATGGGTTATGTGAGGCAGCCACCCCCACAGTCAGGGTACAGGTTCCGTCAGGGAACAGGTGCGATTCACCCTCACGCTAGCCCTGGAGGGGTTAATATAGGCAAGAGAGGCCAATTAGCCAAAGGCTGCACCTGGTGGGGAGTTAGGACGCACGACAAGGTCAGCAACTGCAGGACGGGGCATCAGACCATGCGGCGAACTAATTCCCAGATGGGCCAGTAGGAGGCGCTGGAGCGGGACGAGGCCACACCTCTGTGACAAGGTGGGAATGCCCCTGGGGAGAGAAGGTGAAGACAGCCCAGCCAGGAGGTCAGATCACAGCATTGGCGTGTCCCACCCTGGAGGGAAGCTGGCTGCTCCCCAGCCAGATCAGATAAGGTGTAGAGCTCACCTTTCCATCCCACGAGTCAAGACAGAAGCCAGGAAAACAGCCCGAAGCGGAACAGCTCACCGGCTTGCCTAGCGTTCTTGTCGCAGTTTGTCGGGCTCCCAGCGGAGCGGTAGCTAAGCACCTCGCAAGCACGAATGGTTTATTCTTGTGACGCCCACGTGAGTGGGGAGAATACCCCGTCGGTCCCCCACCCTCTGTCATCAGATCTGTTTGTGCGTGTTTTGGGGCAGGGACTGTCTCCGACTCTGGGTCTGGGCAGCGCCCGGCACGACAGTGCCCTGATCCCGGTTGGAGTCTGGGCAGCGCCTGGCACAAATGCGGCCCCGGTTTCGGTTGGGGTCTGGGCAGCGCCCGGCTCTGTGGGGGCCTGATCTCGGTCGGGGTTCGGGCAGCGCCCGGCTCTGTGGGACCCCGATCTCGGTTGGGGTCTGGGCAGCGCCCGGCTCCTTGGGACCCTGATCTCGGTTGGGGTCTGGGCAGCGCCCGGCTCCGTGGGACCCCAATCTCGGTCGGGGTTCGGGCAGCGCCCGGCTCCGTGGGACCCCGATCTCGGTCAGGGTCTGGGCAGCGCCCGGCTCCGTGGGACCCCAATCTCAGCTGAGCCCTCTGGCTGTCATCACGCTATGGAAAGGGAAAGGCCCCTATCCCCGGCTTGTTCTGTATGGCACTGCGGTTCTTGGCTGGGCTCCAGCGCATTCCGGAGGCGGCTGGAGCAGATGGAGACAGCTTCGTGCGTGCTGCAGGAAACCGTAGAAACCAGCCAGCTTGCCGGCCCACGCGGCAGTCTAGAGACACCCAGCCTGTGGCAGGACGAGAGGCCAGACGGTGTTAACCGGGGACATGCTGCGGACAACGTTCGGACTTGGAGCCGCCTGCGAGCGACGTGCCCGGCCTGGGCTGTACCTGCTCCATGGGTAAATAGAGGACTCTGAGCTAGCAGCTCTCTGCCATTTGGGGTGAAAACTAAGGTGGTAGTTTGGACCTACAAAGCCCCAAGTGGCTTGGGCTCTCCCTGAGAGACAGCCTCTCCCTCTGGGCCATCCTGCCAGGCTGGGGTCAGGGGGGTAATGAGCCGGGGTCCCGCGGCGGGAGATGCTGCCGGCCGGGTGTTCTCCATGCAGAACAGCTTGATTTTACTGCCCTCCAAAACAGGTTTTAAGGCCCTTTGTCTCCCTAATCTACCCCGCACCCCTGCCTCCAAGCCCCAGGCCCTGACCCCCCTCATCCACCCACCCACCAGCCCCAGGGCCTCTCACGCCCCAGCACTCGTCTGCCGGCTCTCCATCCCAGCAGCCGTGCTGGGTCAACCCGGGGCTGGCGACAGACAGGATGTCCTGCAGCCCCCAGGGCTTGGGGGAGGGAAGGCAGGATGCTCCGTGGGGTCCTGTGTGGTGGGCAGGGGGTCTCCCCGGGCTGGGATGGAGGAGGGGAGTGGGTATCCCCAGGCTGGAGGGTGGGAGATGAGTGGGCCAGGTTACCTGCCCAAGTACCAGCAGCCCCACTCGGTGCATGAGCCCCTCATCCCCTGCAGACCCACTCCAGACTGGAGCTGGGGGGGGGCACACTGGGGGCTGGGAGCAGCAGCAGCCACTGGCTAAGCTTGGGACTCAGATCTCCCAGCCGGGTAGGAAAGGAGAAGGAGCTGGGGGCAGACTGAGCCTTGGCTCCTGGTGTGGGCGGGAGAGCGTGCCCTGGCGGGTGAGGACGGCGCTGGTGAGGGAGGCGGGTATATCACAGGCTGACCGGCCCTTTAAGGGGAGAGGGTCCCAGCTCCTCCCGTGACTGCTCGGCTGCCTCCCAGCAGTGGTCGTGGGGCTAGGGCTCGGGGATGGCTTGAAAGCACCTGGCCCTTATGCAGGCCAAAGAGAACTCAGCTGAGCTGAGTGGGTTTGCAGGAGGGGTTTGCAGGAGTCCCGGACGGGTGGGAAGTGCCTCTGGGAATTGCGGACGAAATTGCTGATTTTGACTTTTTTTGCTCACTGTTCAGTTCCCCCCGACGCATCGTGCTCGGCGGCAAGGGCATGGCAGCTGACTGGCCCGGCCCGGCTTCTGGAGAGGCAGCTGGCAGCAGCCAAGTGACATTCCTTTTCCCGTGCCGATGTGGTGAGTATTGCTTATTAGGTGTATTACGGTAGCGCCTAGGAACCCAGGCCATGGCCCAGCAACCCATTGTGCTAGGCCCTGTACATTTTTATTGCTCTTAGGTGTATTACAGTAGCGCCCCAGCCCCTAGGGTGACCAGATGTCCCGATTTTATAGGAACGGTCCCGATATTTGGGGCTTTTTTTTAATATGGGCTCCTATTACCCCCCACCCCCGTCCCGATTTTTCACACTTGCTGTCTGGTCACCCTACCAGCACCCCAGGCCACAGGCGTTGACTTCTGCTTGCGCCGGCGGGTGCTCGAGCCCCCCCTGCCCCAACTCCACCCCTGCCCTGCCCTGCCCTGTCCCGCCCCTTCCCCAAAGTCCCCACCCCAACTCCGCCCCCTCCCAGCCCCTATTCCGACTCCTTCCCTAAATCCCCATCCCAGCTCCGCCTCTTCCCCGCCTCCTCCCCTGAGCGCGCCACATTCCCGCTCCTCCCCCTCCCTCCTGGATTTTGCTACGCAGCCAAACAGCTGTTTGGCGTCGGCAAGCGCTGGGAGGTAGGTGGAGGAGCAGTGACGCGGCGCGCTCTGGGGAGAAGGCGAAGGAGGTGGGGCACGGGGGAGTTTGGCTGCCAGTGGACGCAGAGCACTCACTAATTTTCCCCCATGGGTGCTCCAGCCCCGGAGCACCCACGGGGTCGGCGCCGATGCCCCAGGCATGGGTCCCACTGTTGTCATAACTGAGCCTGTGTATTTATTCCAGTTGTGAGCTCAGCTGTAAAAAGCATGAGGACGTTCCTAAGAAGTCCCAATAATTTACGATCACAAAAGCTGGTGGGAAGAGGCATGCCAAGGAGACAGCAAACCGGAATTAGCCGACACAAAACAGCTTCTGATAGAACTCCGGGACTGGGTTAAGTCCGTGCCCGACGACCAAGAAAATGTAAATTCGGAAGCCAATGAACCAAAATTGGTGGCTCAAAAATTCTGCCAGTTGCCTCTCCACTCCCAGCCGAAGCCATGCCGTGCCAGTCTGCTGCGGTGCCCTTGCCTGATTGGTGGACAAAATAATGAGGGGAGGGGCTATTAAACAAAAAGACTTTGTGGGCACAATACGGAAGCACAGACGGATGCTACTGGAGTGAGCGTCACCATGGAGTTCGAAGGGACTGCCAAGGTCATCTAGTCTAAGATGCAGGATTTGTTGTGTCTAAACCATCCAAGACAGCCTCTTTTGAAAGTCTCCAGTGAAGGAGCTTCCACAGCCTCCCTAGGCATTTATTCCATTCTCCTACTGCTCTTTCAGCGAGGGAGTTTTTCCTGAGATTTCATCTAAAGCTGCTGGGCTGTTGTTTGAACCCACTGCCCCTTGTCCTGTCCTCCGTGGCAAGGGAGAACAACTTTTCTCCATCTTTTTTATGGCAGCCTTTCAAATATTTGAAGACCATCACAGCGGTCGCCCCCCTACTGTTTCCTGGGACGCTGGACTTGCGTCACCTTAAATCTATGTTCGGAGCAGACTGGGCCAGAGAGAGGGACCCAGCTGACACCGTGACCTCTGCTGGCGCCAGCTGAATCCTCAACACCATCCAAGTGACTGACAAGGTGGGTGAAGTAATATCTTTTATTGGACCAACAGAAGATATGACCTCACCCACTCGGTTTCTCTCTCATCCTGGAACCAACAAGTTATATATAACAAGACTCCAAACAATCTAAGAAACTGTCCAAGAAGGGAGTTTTTCCTTCTAAAACTCTCTCCTGCTAAGGGGAACTAGGGATGTTGTTAAAACGAAAGCCTTATTTAATACCTGACATTGCAAATGCTGTCTCTGTTTTTCCTTTTTTTCTTTATCTTTAATAAAAGGTTACAAGAATTTTGAATGGTGTGTTTGCCCTGGGACGAAGCAGGCTGACATCTCTGTATACCAAACTCCAAACCTTGTTGGACACTGTTTAATGTTGGACAGTGACTGGGTTGCGTTGATACCCTTGGCCCATATGTTCCATCTAAATTAATACACCAGTGCTGTACGTTTTCATTGCTGATCGGTAGGGCCCAGGGTTTTTGCAGCAATGAAAACAAAGTCATTTCAGATTTTCAAAGCTGTATATTTTGGAAATCTCAGATATGCATTATATTAATACAGAAAATACACAGATCGACAAACCCGAGCAAGATGTAACCCTTTACAGCACCAAACTGCAGTAGCCTGCATTACAATGTTTACAGACACTTCTGAAATTGTTTTTGACAACCGAAATTGTCAGTTTTAGAACATAACAAATGTATTAAGTGATCATCTTCATCGCTATAAACACAAAACAACATTCTTGCCGCGCAAGACTATGCGATTAAAATAATCTAACAGCACAGGGAAATTTGGCATAATTACATTTCTGCTTAAAGTAAACCAACGTTCTATTGTATATCGCCTGCATCAGCATACAAATATTCATTGACACACGCTTAGGGCACATTACAAGTACATCGTCACGCTTTCCAATGACATACAGTGACATGGCGGGGTTAGCCCTTGTCCAAATTTGGAGAAACCACGTTCAGCGTCAACCGAATTGCATGGGATTGCCAAAAGACCACGAGCAATCTGGCTAGGTTTTGGCAAATGTTTGTCTGTGCTTTTACCAAAACCTGGAGAGAGAAATGTCATTGGGACGAGGAAGTTCATTTACAATGCTCAAATAAACTGCCCACTCACCCACAGGTACAAAGCGCAGCAGTGAAATACTCCATTCCCAGTCACTGCAGTTGTGGGAGAGCACACAAACTTGCTTGAGATCGAGGATTCTCACATTGTGGGCAACCTATGCTGGCTGTTTGTCTGTATTTATGTACCCTGCATTTTCTCTGCACGGCTTTGAAAATCTTGACCCTTGGGATTGTCCAGTGCATGCCGTCCTTTGAACGGAAGCATTGCCGGCAAATCAGATGCAAGGTTGTACACTGCTCTTGATAATGCCAACTGTGATTCAAACGTAAGTAGTGTCTGAACAAGCGGAGTTGGATAAATTAAATTTGCCACAAGCGATTAGCTCTGCAATAAAACATGTAGCTCCTCTAAAACGGCGGTCGTGTCCTCCCCGTCGATTTCCTGAGCAACGAACCCCTTGTCTTACTCCACACAATGGTTGTGATAGTCTACGGCTTTAAACCAAGTATTCCACCTTGTTGCAACTGGTTCCGCAGGTAGTGTCGGGCTTTCAACTCTTTGGTCCATAAGGTAGTCTCTAAAGCGAGCAGGTCTGAGTGGAGGGTTTATTAGAGCACACAGACCATCCACTTCTGTATAGAAACGGTGCCTGGTAAAGCTGTAACATGTGCCCAGAAGGTCACAGAAATGCATTGGTTAAAATGCCACTTAACCTGTCTTTGAACGACGTCCACAGGGATTTTGCGTTACCTGCCACATAAGCCCCTGCATTTGACAAGTCAATGTCATCTTGTACCAGGGTCTTTGTAACAGCTTGTGCAACTAGGGAGTAGTTAACACGTCCTAACTCCACTGTTTCGACGCGCTTGGCAGCAGCTGGGCGACCGTCTGAAACCCGCATGCGCTGTATTCGAATATTTGCAACGTGCCAGTGTAGGCTGTCTGTGTCGTCATCCAGAATTACAGCTACTGTCTGACCCTTCTGTTCGGCGCTCAGTTGTTGCTTGTTTTGTTCAAAGATGGGCGGGGGCGGGCGGGGAAGATGGACTCGCTTGTGGGATACGGCCCCCATTTCATTTAGGAATTCTCGCTTTTGGGGATGGTCCGTTTTTTTCTAATGGGATGTTTGCACTGCCACCGGCCTCCACCCGATCGCGTGCTATCTTTTCCCTGTATTTCTGGTTTTCCTTTTGCCGTGTATGCACACCAGTAATTGTGAGCTGGGGTTTTGCTGCTGTCACGGCGCCTTTCCTGTGGTTGCCTGTGCCGTCCTTTTTCACATGGTCAAGCCCTTGGTTGCAAAACAGTACAAAATAACGTCCCTCCGCCCACATGGAGCACATCTTTGCTGAATTCTTTAACTCTCCCCTCGGGCTGAATCATTCTAGGCATTGCTAGGAAGCGGCTTTGAAGAGCCGAAGCACAAAGTGAAAAACAGGAAGGAATCGGCTTGCAGGAGGGTTGGGGAGAGGCTCTAGCCGTGAGGGAACTTCTCTGAGGCTGCAAGCAGCTGGGCCAAGGTCCAGCTGTGTGTGGGAGCGAGATGTGAGCCGGGCGCCTCGAGCCAGCGGTGTACTAGTGGGAAGGACAAGAGACAGCTGTGTGCAGGGGAAGGGAGACAGATGTGTGGAAGTAAAGCAAAAATTCTATTTTTCTCCAACAGATGCTAGGCATAGGGTTACCAACTCTCCCGGTTTGGCCAGGAGTCTCCCAGAATCGGGCTCGATCTCCCAGAGGCTACTGAAGCCAATCTGGGAGATTTTAGGCCACTAAAAGTCCGGTGGCGCAGCGGGGCTAAGGCAGGCTCCCTGCCTGCCCTGGCCTGTCCGGCAGCAGCTCCTAAGCGGAGGCGCGGCTACTCTGTGTCACCCCTTTCCACTAGTGTACTTGGAAGGGGGAGCAGGTGCCGCACGCGCTCTCTATTCCGTGTCGCCCCTGTCCACTAGTGTACCCTATCGGTGGTTCCCCGGCATCTCCACCACTAATGTTACCTCTGTTCCCCTAAAAACCAACCCAGGGGTCACACACTTGTATTAGTTTTATTACGATGCCGCTGTTGGGTCAGATAGAAAAGAGATGGCGCTTATTCATACACGCACACATTCACCGCGTTCATACCCTCATGCACCCACACACTTACGCAGGCGGAGAGTTACCGGAGACAGCATGGAGGCCGAGAAGCCGAAGCGTGGGAGATCTGGTGTGTCCGGCTGCGGTCACGAATCCGGGCTGCTGAGCAGGTCAAGGAGCAGGTCAAGTGTGCATGGCTGCTTCCTTTTGCTGGAACTGGGTGGCTCCTGTCATGTACACTGAGTTTCCCTTCTGTGTCCGTCACCGAGAAGCATTCCCAGACCAGTTCCTTTCATGCATACCAGGTTCTTCTTCTCTTTACAGCACTTCGTGATTGCCTTCTCAGGGCAGATTATATCAGACACACCTGGCTCCTGTCTCTGGGCTCCTCTCTCCTTGCAGCTCCTCTCCGCCCAGTCCCACATACACTCCCTCGTTCACACTCTCTCTGAGGGATGGGATATTACAAAACTTGGAAGTTCAAACAAGTGGTAACTTGAAAAGGTTACAGAGCTTGCAAAGGTTACAAAACTTAAAAGGCTGTGCTAACATCACTGAAGTTACAAAGCCATATTTGGGGTCGGGAAGGAATTTTCCCCCAGGGCAGATTGGCAGAGGCCCTGGGAGTTTTTTGCCTTCCTCTGTAGCATGGGGCACGGGTCACTTGCTGGAGGATTCTCTGTACCTTGAGGTCTTTGAGGACTTCAGTAACTCAGGCATAGGTCAGGGGTTTGATACGGGAGTGGGTGGGTGAGATTCTGTGGCCTGCGTTGTGCAGGAGGTCAGACTAGATGATCATGATGGTCCCTTCTGACCTTAAAGTCTATGAGTCTGCAAAAAGGTTGCAGAACTTAATGATACACGTTACAGATCTTACAATTGCATTTGAGCAGAGGCTTTACATAACACCTCCCATACTCCGAACCCCTTGGCCCCAGCCCAGAGCTCACCCCCGCCTCCCGAACCCCAACTCCCTGCCCCAGCCCAGTGAAAGTGAGTGAGGGTGGGGGAGAGCGAGCGACGGAGGGAGGGGGCTGGAGTGAGTGGGGAGGTGGAGCATCGGAGAATGGGCGGGACAGGGGTGTGGCCTTGGGGCAGGGGCGGGGCAAGGCAAGGGTGTTTGGGTTTGTGTGGTTAGACAGGTGGCAACCTTAGCTGGGCCCTGTGGGCTAGAGAAGTGGAGTAGATTAACACACAGGCCCACGGGGCCGTGCCCAAGGTCCCCAGCCAATTTGGGGGCCCCTGGAAAAATCTCACGATGCTAGGGCAGCAGGGGCACTGAAACAGGGGGGCCAGGGCCCCATCATTTTTTACTGGCCATAAGGGCGAGTGACGGGGGGGAGGGGACAAAGAGGAGCAAGTGGGAGGGCGGGGTGTCAGGGGGGAAGAGGTAGCACGAGGGCGGGGCTTCGGGGGGGAAGGGCAGCGCATGGGGGGGTAGGACATCAGGGGAAGGGGAAGCATGGGGGAGGGTCCTTGGGGTGGGGAAGGGGTGGCGCAAGGGCAGGGACTTGTGGAGAAGGGGGCGGAGAGAGGGCGGAGGCTTGGAGGGAGGGGCAGCGGGGCCACGGTTTGGGCGCTGGTGGCCCCCCCACTTGTAGGGAGCCTGTAGGGCAGGATGATTTAGCTGCTGCGCCCTCTGCTCCGCTGCCCCTTCCTCTCCTGCTTGTTGTTTTCTTCTCGCCGCCACCGGTGACGGGCTCCCCCTGCATCGTGCCGGGCGGCCGGGGGTAGGCGGCGAAGGAAGAGGGGAAACAACGCCTCCTGCTGCCCGCGTCTCCTCCAGCCCCGAGCTGCGCGGGACATGCCCCCTCTTGGCTGCAGTCCTACCGCCCCGAGCCGAGCTGCCAGGACACAGGCTGAAACCTGCTGCACGTCAGCCTCTTCCCAGTGGGGTGGGGCTGAGGTAGGCCTTAGCCCTTCCTCGCCATAAGGCCCCACCCCCTGGTCCTCCTCTTCCCTGAGGCCCCGCCCCTGGCCAGGCCAGAAGCCAGAGCCAGGCTGTGGTAAGAGCCACTCAGGGAGCCTGGGCCGCTGTGGGGAGCCCCGGACCCTCCACCTGCCCTGGGCAGCACGCCCTGGGCAGCGCACCCCGAGCAGGCAGAGACAAGGGCTGCAGGCTGCTCTCGGGCTCCCGGC